GAGGCCCGGTTCTTGCACGTTTCTCCACTGTTCTCCAGTGTGCGGCGGTTCCATCTGGCTCACTGTCAGGTCTTCACCTCCCCTCGTTCTCTATGAACTTGGTGAGCAACGTAGTCCTTCAGGATGAATGGGTCCCCTCGTCTCCTAGTCTCTGGTCTTCCCAGGTCTCTGCTTGCCCGCGACAGGGGCCGCGTCAGGGGCCGCGTCAGGGGCCGCGGCAGGGGCCGCGTCAGGGGCCGCGGCAGGGCCGCGTCAGGGCGCCGCGTCAGGGGCCGCGTCAGGGCGCCGCCAGGGGCCGCGGCAGAGCCGCGTCAGGGCCGCGTAAGGGGCCGCGGCAGGGGCCGCGTCAGGGGCCGCGTCAGGGCCGCGTCAGGGCCGCGGCAGAGCCGCGTCAGGGCCGCGTCAGGGGCCGCTTCAGGGCCGCGGCAGGGGCCGCAGCAGGCCGCGTCAGGGCCACGTCAGGGGCCGCGGCAGGGCCGCGTCAGGGCCGCGGCAGGGGCCGCGTCAGGGCGCCGCGTCAGGGGCCGCGTCAGGGCGCCGCCAGGGGCCGCGGCAGGGCCGCATCAGGGCCGCGTCAGGGCCGCGGCAGAGCCGCGTCAGGGCCGCGTCAGGGGCCGCTTCAGGGCCGCGGCAGGGGCCGCGGCAGGCCGCGTCAGGGCCGCGTCAGGGGCCGCGGCAGGGCCGCGTCAGGGCCGCGGCAGGGGCCGCGTCAGGGCGCCGCCAGGGGCCGCGTCAGGCCGCGTCAGGGCCGCGTCAGGGCGCCACCAGGGGGCGCGTCAGGGGCCGCGATAGGGCGCCGGCAGGGGCCTCGTCAGGGCGTCGCCAGGGGCCGCATAGGGGGCGCGTGGGAGGCGGCGTAGGGGCCGCGTAGGGGCAGCGTAGGGGCCGCTAAAAAAAAAAATTTAGGGCAGGGCGCAATGTGCGCGGGCAGCTAAAAAAAAAAAAAATCTTATGGTGGGCCCTTAGGAAGGAACGGTTCCATGTAGGAACCCGCTCTATACCATGTGAATCAAGAAAACAGGAATGAAATGACTAAGTGAAAGTTGGGTACAAAAAGGCAAACCCTAGGCAACTGTACCCCATATGTGCTACCCCACTATAGCCTACAGTAGCTATGTCATATAACTCTGACAGCAAGTTCATCCTTCTCGTCGCCTACGTCGATGACCTACTTTATACCGGCGACGACGTGAAACTACTTGACCGATTTGAAGAAGACATCAAGGAGAAGCTCGAGGTGACGACCAACGACAACCATCACGCAATTCACCCGGTCCGCCACCTCCATTCACCTCTCCGTCGCCGAGTACGCGGAAACGCATGCGAAGAAATTCGCAATCGCTCCAATCAACCTCACCACACCCTTTTGCACTCCTCCTCCGAACCACGAACCCGACACCACGCCACTCTCCATCGAGGATCACCGGCTCTATCAGCAGCAATTGGGGTGTCTACTGTTCCCCGCCGTCACGTGCCGGCCAGATCTATCATACGTCGCAAGCCAGCTCGCGCAGTATCTGCGTCGACCTGAAGGGGAGAATCTACTAGACCTACGCCGAGCACTCCAATACATCATTTCTACCCCCAATGTCGGACTCACCTACGAAGCTAATTTAACTACTACCCCGCAACTTCACGGCTACATAGACGCTGAACATTGGGGAGATGTTGATAATACACGCTCCCGTAGAGGTTTAATTTTTCAACTCCAACCTGCTGGACTCATCTCCTAAAACTCCCCAAAGCAGGAGCTCATTCCTCTTTCGTCAGCTGAAGCTGAGTTCATCGCCACCAGCGCAGCTGTTCGCGGAGGGTTTTACCTGATGGAGCTCCTGCAGGAAGCGAAGGTGACGATGAACGGGCACTTCACGTTACTCTGCGAGAACCAAAGCGCGATCAATATCGCGAACAAGCCTGGCTTCGTGAACCGCACGAAGCACATCACACTCCGTTACTTCTTCGTCAAGGACGAAATCGACAAGGGCAGCAGATTTCTTGACCAAGAAGCTGCCACGTCAGAAGTTTCAGCATTCCGCCAACCTCTGCGGGATCTGAAAGAAGTCCCACGTGGCTCACCTTCAGGAATGAAGGAATTTGTTGGAATAACTGAAAGGTTATTATAAGATTCTTGACGGTTCCCTCCTAATGCGCCACTTCATAGCGAAGCAACGCTACTATACGAGTATTGTGTTATGATCGTATAGAGCACGCGGCAGCCCGAGTGTCTCCCGAAGGTCAACGGTCGCTGGTAGTCAACGATCGCGACTGTTGCCCGCCCAGCAACCGCATTAGAGGTTACGCAATGCAACATGGTAACTGTCGAGAATGGCAATAGTCGCAGGTACTGTAGCTATGTAATACAGTTAAATAAGGGAATATACCCCTCAAGGTACATGGCTAGCTGGATCTCGATTTAATCCCTTTATATTTCTATCTTAATCATCTTGTTATATTTCCATCATTATTAACAAGGTCACTACAAGACTTTATCGTCTTCCCATAACTTAGCAAGTCCCCTCCTATCCACATGGATCCTTCGGTTATATCAACAGTCCTATCCTTTCCACGTTGATCCCTCGGTTATATCACCAGTTTTCAACAGGGATGCTTGCACAAGCTCTCCAGTACTGATGCGTACTTTGCCTATAGTGCTGGCAAACCCCTAAGTTTCCGTTGCCCAACTTTGCCTGCACTTTTGGCAAAATCCACGTGGGAGAAAGCTGCCCGTGCCATCAATTTGACCCTCCACATGACATCAATTTGACCATGCGCATGACTTCACTTTTGCTACACCGAATACTCTAACTTATTCCCTCGACACGAAATATTTCGTCACAGGAAACAATGCGACTGTATTAAGCCTGTTGGTAACATCTCAAAATATATTACGAAGGAACCGCTGTGATGACACCGTGATAAACGGCAGCGAAAAAAAGGGGCTTGTACCCTGCGTGCAACCAGGGATGCTGAATGGGTAAGTATCAACTGTGGGCAAATAAGCAACAGAGAATTGACCGAATTAGGGCCAGGTGGCTCGCACAGTGTCGAGCCTGAGCCGCACCTGGGCTCACCCAGGCGCTTCGTCAGAGTGACTACAAATTGTGACAGAATTCTGTTTGACGAGGCGAAGGACATCAGCTTTTTGTAAAAACTTTTATTACCTTAGGTAGTAAAGAAACGATTGTTTTTTTTATCTAGACCCCTTTTATTAAGAGACTAGACTGAAGAAATCAATGTTACTGAAATAGTAAAACCCGTTCGGACGTGTCCTTCCAGAGGCGTAAACCCTAAGCTCCTTGTCGCATAGCTGATGCATCCTTAATTTTGTAGTAAAGGGTTTCATATTTTCTTTTCCGTCATCGCAACACTTGTTTTCCGGCTGTCATCTCACTTCAAGGGCGATTACAACGAAATAAACTTGCCATTTTACAATGTTGGTAAAATCCACGTAAATCTTTTGGGTGTGACGTGACACGTAGCCTGGCTCGGGTAGTGCTTGTGCAGCTTCGGACCTCCAAGCTAGGGGTAAGGAGACACCTGGCCCTAATTCGGCCACTTCTCTTCTATTGTTTGCCCCGTAATTGATCTTTGCCCGTCCCTAAATTGCAAATTTGAGCAGCAAAGTGAGTTGGCGGAGCAAATTGGCGTGCATGTGGGCATCATGTGTATTCTGTTCTTCTCTCTGTTTCCCTCCAAATGTTTGCATGAGTTCTTGTGTACTTGGGTCAATCGGGTGAAGCGTGCTGTTACTAGGCGTCGGAATACTGAACCTCTGAATAGTGTTACATTCGTTATTGTACCATTTTTTATATCCCTGAGATTCGTTCCATTCTTTGTAACCTCCACCTACAAATTGAAACACTTACACTCATTCTACACGTGCACTATTAGGTCGTAATCGAGTCTGATGATTGCTGTATCCTAGCAATTTATTCAGGCTACCCAGGTTTGGATTCGCTCGCCACACAACGCCTAAATATTACAGTCACAGACAGGACAAAACAAGCGCAGCGAACTTGTAGAAAACGGGCAACAATAACCGTTATTCGGGTGTGTTTTGTCTGCCTTTTCAGGCAAAGCGTTGTCTGAAAACGACATTATGGCCCAGTTGGCAGTAGGAGCAGCATTCCCATCGATGCAAACTACTGTACGGACGGATTTTAGCATATGCATTTTGAGGGATAGGTTTTCAAACGTTTTGGGACGTCAACTTTTTGTGGAGTCCACAGAACTAGGAGAGCATCGACTGTACAATTGACCTCTCAAATCTGTACGGTACATGCAGAATATCCTTGCGCGAGGACACCACCGTAGTTTACCGTCCCTTGAGTCGTGAAATCAGATTGAGCTTGAACTTTGAGCCTCGGAGGAAAAGATCAGCCATACTTATCTCTTATCATGGTCATGTCAGACTGAACGGATTTTTTTTGTTTGGTCAGAGGGCCCAAGAGCCACACTCAGAACTGCAGAGGCTGGGCGGAATTTTTTTGCAACTTCCGAAGCGCTTTCCCCTTGATTTCAACATGGGTTTCTTTTCCGATTCCTCGCACGTTTGGTGACGGGGCAAACTTTCCACTGCATTCAGTTTCTCATTCCGCCACACGAAGCCATATTAGCTCACACTTCCCGTGAGTAACCTTCATCGACCCCTTTCCCGCCGTGAGTTTCCACTTGCAGCCCTGAGTGCGCATCCATGCCTTGGCCTTCGACGCTGCTCGAGCTCTGCGCTCTCTCTCACTCGCTGAGGACCATGATCAACTTCATGCCAATGGCATCTTTCGGCTGCGGCCGCCGCAATGGGGTTGCAGCGCTGGTGACAACTCTGATGATCGTAGCAGGTGAGGACTGAAGGAGGAAAGCTTCGTATTATAATTGTATTAGCGTCGTTGCAGCTTACTAGCTGCAAAATGTTATTAGTAATGACTGCTGCTGATGCTGATCATCGCCCCTCCCCTTCCTCTCTCCTCCTCTCCTCTCCCCCTCCTCCCCTATCCTTCCAGCCTTCATGCCTCACTCTAAGGCTGGTCGTGTGCTTTCAGAAGTGAGGCAACTCTCTACCAGCGTTGGTGTGTGCCGCCATTTCTTTCCCAGTCTCTCTTCTGTACTGGTACTAGACCATCGGACCTTTTGACCGGAACTTTGAATTCTGCCGTTGGAAGGTCCTCTCTGGAGTGGCTTGCCGTTAGGAAGGTAGCTGCGGGCATCTTGGGATTAAAATGCCATGCCAATTCCACGTGGGCCCAAATGTCGCACCAATGCTACCTCTGTCCCCCTCTCCCTCTCCTCCCGCTTTCCCCCTCCTCTCAGAGCCATGCACTGTGAACAACTGTGGAAAAAATTCCTTGTGTTACAAGAATGCAACAGGGGGTGACACCTGTCGTTGCATAGATGGGTACACCATGACTCGCTATCATGGCTGCCAGGGTGAGTGTGGCTGGAGTCACTGCATGGCTGGGTGGTGTGCGTCTTGTCTTGTCCCTCACCCGTCCTCTTGTCCCACTTCCAAACTCTCCCTCCATCCCTCTTGTCTCCTTTCCTCCCTCTACAGGCATGCAGTGTGATCAGCTAGCAATACTACAAAACATATCAATGTATTTAAAACGTTATAGAAACAAAGAAAATCTCTCACCAACCCCCCCTCACTGCAGTTACATGTAACCACTTTGACGGCAGCTGCCCTGGCAATGCTACATGCCACCACGTCCCTGGAGGCGGCAGGCTGTGCTCTTGTGACCTCGGCTTCAGGATGGTTAACGCCAGATGCATCTGTATGTCACGGCCTGTACAACTCTATATGGCTTTCCCCAAATTCCCACTTGTCTATCTCCTTGCTCATTCCGAAACCTTTTCTCCAATTCGGCCCTCCTTTCCAAGTCTTTTGATTGAGATAGCTCAATTGCAGACCCATCCTTCGAAGTCCCACCATATTTACCCCTAAGCCCGAAGCCTCCCCATCTGCAAGTCCCCCTTCTTTTCAACCTTTTATCTATTCCCCCTTCTCTCTCTCTCTCTCTCTCTCTCTCTCTCTCTCTCTCTCTCTCTCTCTCTCTCTCTCTCTCTCTCTCTCTCCATCTCCCTGCCCCCCTGCATGGATTCATTAACAATCCTATCAGTCGCCTGCGATAGGGTGACCTGTCCGGACAACTCTAACTGTGACGTGGGCCCTGACGGGAACGCGGTGTGCAGCTGCAACGATGGCTACGACCAGATGCCAGACGGCACTTGTGCTGGTTCGTATTGGTGCTTTCTCTTGCGTACCCCGTTTCCCCCTCCATCTCCTGCAGTCCTCGTCTTTGAATTCTGCTATCTTTGGAAGACCATCTGTCCTTTTGATTCGGTCTTGGAATTCTGCTGTGGAAGGTCCTCTCTGGAGTGGTTTGCCTTGCCAGGGTAGCTGCGGCCATCTGCCATGCAGTTGTGATGCCATGCCCATTCCTTGGCCTTCAACGTGTTCTCTCTCTGTCCATGTCGCACCAATGCTGCCTCTGTCCCTCCCTCTCTCTACTCCTGCCTTCCCCCTTCCCCTCAGAAGCTTGCAGTGTGAACAACTGTGGAGATAATTCCTTCTGTTACAAGGAAGCAGGGGATAATATGTGTGCTTGTAACGATGGGTACACCATGACTCCCACATATAAATGCCAGGGTGACTGTAGCTGGAGCCGCTGCATGTCTGGGTGGTGTGCGACTTGTCTCATCGCTCACCCGTTCCCTTTGTCCTACTTCCAACCTCTCCCGCCCTCCCTCTCTCCTTTCCTACCTATCTTCCTGAGCCTTTTCCCCCCTGCCTATCAATGTCTCTAAAGCATTCTAGAAACACAGCAAAATCTCTCACCATCCCTCCCTCACTGCAGTTACATGTGACGACTATGGGGGCAGCTGCCCTGGCAATGCTACATGCAACCAGGTCACCGGAGTCGGCGGGCTGTGCTCTTGTGACCTCGGCTTCAGGATGGTTAACGCCAGATGCATCTGTATGTCACGACCTGTACAATTCTGTAAAAGGCATTTCCCCAAACTCTCTCTTGTCCATCTCCTTGCTCATTTGAAAACTTTCTCCCATTCGGCCCTCGTTTTCTTTGAGTGACCTAGCTCAACTGCAGACCCATCCTTCCCCTGTCCCACCAGGTTTACCCTCAAACCAACCCTCTCCATCCTCACCTCCCCTTTCTTTTCGGCCTTCTATCCGTTCCCCATTGGGTCTTCCTCCCTTTCTCCGTCCCTCTCCCTGCGTCCCTGCATGGATTTAATTCCACTCCTATCAGCCGTTTGTGAGATGAACTGTCCGGCCAACTCTTTCTGTGAAGTGGACCCTGTAGATGAAGTGGTGATGTGCTTCTGCAACGATGGCTACGACCGGAAGCAAGACGGCACTTGCATTGGTGCGTGTTGGTGCTTTATTTTGCATACCCTTTATTTTGCCTTGGTAGGCACGAAATGGATGTGTGTACGCAGGGCGGCATGGACTAGGGTTGGGACCAATTCGAACGACACATGCAAGAAAAGTACTCAACACCCAGCATCAGTGCAGTGCTCTCGCTCTCTCTTTGGACATATGGGCTGCTTTACTCTCTCGAACCAAGAAACCATTGCTGTCTGTGTGAGTTGGTTAGCCTGGAAGCCAACTCTGACCGAAAGATTAACCAGCAGCTTAATAAAATCCTTTCTTTGTATCTCTCTCCCTCCCTGCTTCCAGAAAACTGTTCAAACAAGATCTGCGGCGGAGCGGAAGAGTGTGTGCCTCATGAAGACGGAGCGACCTGTGAATGCGTGAATGGATTCGTCAGGGTCGCTGGGTCTTGTGTTGGTACGTTGTGCTTGTTCCACCCCCCTCCCTGCGCCTCTCCTCCACATGCGCTGGTTCCTGTGTCGGCTCGTTTTGCTCCACCCCATCACTGCTCGCATTTGCTCCATCCCATCCTCTTTCACGTGTTTTCTGTCACTCATACCTTCTTCGTTCCATGTCTGGTATCGTCTATACTGGAAGACCATCTCACCTTTTGACTCCGTTTTTGAATTCTGCTGCGAAAGGTCCTCTCGGGAGTGGTTTGCCGTTTGCCAGGGTAGCTGCGGGCATCTTGCCATGCAGTTGTGATGCCATGCTCATTCCACATTGGCCTTTAGCATGGGCCCGCTCTGTCCATGTCGCACCAATGCTGCCGCTCTCCCTCCCTTTCCTCTGCTGTCCCCCTCAGAGGCATGCCCTTTGAACCAATGTGGAGATAATTCCGTCTGTTACAAGAATGCAGCAGGGGAGAATACATGTGCTTGTAACGATGGATACAACATGACTCCCATTGGTGACTGCAAGGGTGAGTGTAGCTGCAGCGGCTGCCTGGCTGGGTAATGTGTCTTCTGGGAGGGATTAGTGCAAGTAATTTTCCATTTAACTTCGGTTTATCTGCTATTGCTACTGATAGTGAGGAATTTTCTTTTCCCTTCTTTCCTTCCCTTTCCCTTCCCCTCAGAGCCATGCACTGTGAACAACTGCGGAGAGAATTCCTTTTGTTACAAGGATATATCTGCGAGTGACATGTGTATCTGCAACGATGGGTACTCCATGACTCCCGACTACGGCTGCCAGGGTGAGTGTAGCTGGAGTCGATGCATGGCTGGGTGTGTGCGTCTTGTCTCGTCCCTCACCCGTTCCCCTTGTCCTACTTTTAAGGGCGTGTAAAATTGTAACGACCATAGTGAATGGTTGACCATTCGGGTGTTTCTGGCGATGCGAAGAATTTATGGTAACGCGCAAAGTTTAGTCACCCCGACTTGACTGAATATCGATGGTACTTCCTGCTAAAGTTGCACCCACTGCACTTTGGGACATACCTACCTACCTACCTACCTACCGACCTTGTACTTGCCCCCGAACGTGCCCGCCTAACCTCACTGCTTTGCTAAACACTATTTTTGTTTTCTATCCCCCGTGGATTCTACACCCCCGTTCGAATGCTGCAACTGGAAACAAACCTTTCTCTTTCAATTATGGGGGTGGTTTTGTGTGGGTACCCCACGTGCTGACGAAATGTATAGCGATCTTCGCTGACACGTTACACCCTTCGCAATCGCCTGAAACACCCAAATGGTCGAGAAATCGCTTTGGTTATTACAATTTTACACGCCCTAACGTCTCCCTCCATCCCTCTCTCCTTGTCTCCTTTCCTCCCTCTCTTCCTCAGCCTTCCCCCCCGTGCACATCAATGTTTCTAAGCAATTTTAGCAACACAGCAAATTCTCTCACCATCCCTCCCTCACTGCAGTTACATGTGACGACTATGGGGGCAACTGCCCTGGCAATGCTACATGCAATCAGGTCCCTGGAATCGGCGGGCTGTGCTATTGTGACCTCGGCTTGGGGATGGTTAACGCCAAATGCATCCGTATGTCACGGCCTGTACAATTCTTTATGAGACGTTTTCCCAAACTCTTACTTTCCCATCCCCTTGCTCATTCCAAAACCTTTGATTGAGCTAGCTCAACTGCAGACCCATCCTTCCCCTGTCCCACCAGGTTTTACCCTCAAACCCTCTCCATCCTCACCTCCCCCTTCTTTTGGCCTCCGCCTTTTCGGCCTTCAATCCCTTCCCCCTTGGATCTTTCTCCCTGTCTCTGTCCCTCTCTCTGCCCCTCTCCCTGCCCCCCTGCATGGATTCAATTTCACTCCTACCAGCCGTTTGCGAGATGATGACCTGTCCGGCCAATACTACCTGTGACGTGGACCCTGACGGGGACGCGGTGTGCATCTGCAACGATGGCTACGTCCAGAATCAAGACGGCACTTGCGTTGGTGCGTGTTGGTGCTTTCTTTTGTGTACTCATCCTCCATCTCCTGCAGTCCCTGCCTTGGTATTTGAGAAGAGGATGTGGGTTGGGACCAATTGGAACGACACATGCAAGGGAAGTACTTAACACCTGACCTCACAGCAGTGCTACTAGCTCTCTTTCAACACATGGGCTGCTTTAGCCCCTCAAACCAAGCAACCAACGCTGTCTGTGTGAGTCGGTTGGCCTGGAAGCCAACTCTGGCGGAATGATTAACCAGCAGCTTTATGAAATTCCTCTCTGTATCTCTCCCCCTCTCTGCTTCCAGAAAACTGTTCAAACAAGAATTGCAATGGAGCGGAAGAGTGTGTGCCTCATGAAGACGGAGCGACCTGTGAATGCGTGAATGGATTCGTCAGGGTCGCTGGGTCTTGTGTTGGTACGTTGTGCTTGTTCCACCCCCCTCCCTGCGCCTCTCCTCCACATGCGCTGGTTCCTGTGTCGGCTCGTTTTGCTCCACCCCATCACTGCTCGCATTTGCTCCATCCCATCCTCTTTCACGTGTTTTCTGTCACTCGCACCTTCCGCTTTTCCACTTCGTTCCATGTTAGTTATAATGAGAGATTCGTGCGATGTATTTTCCCATTCGATTGCCATTTTAATGCTATTGCTACTGTTTCTGAGAGATTTTTTTGTCCCTCCCTCCCTCCCTCCCTCCCTCCCTCCCTCCCTCCCTCCCTCCCTCCCTCCCTCCCTCCCTCCCTCCCTCCCTCCCCCAGCATCTAAGCAGCCACCCACGCCACCCTTGGCTTTTGCACAGCCACCCTTGGCATTTGCACAGCCACCCTTGGCACTTGCTCCGCCACCCTTGGCATTTGCTCCGCCACCTACGGTATTTCCTCCGCCACCCGTGGTGTAGGTGTCAGATTACAGCAGTAGCCGTTATCTGATGAGTGGAGAGTATCAGGAGTACATATCGTCTAAATTCTAAATTGTGAAGATGCCAGTAAGGAGGCGACATAAGGGGAAGATCTGGGAAGGTGCGGCGAACCAATGGGAAGAAGGCAGAGGTGATAACGGAAGGCAACACAGCAATGTGGCGAGGGGTGCACCACGATGACTCACCAGAAGGGAAGGTTTGAAAGAGGGTGATGAGGGTCGCAACGAGGTTGCCAAGATGTAAAAAAGGCAGTGGACGAAGGAAAGGGTGGCAGAGTGAGCAGTTGTGAATAGGGGTGAGTTTAGGGATGACGTGTGCATGTTTCAGGTTTCTTTGTTTGCAGCAGACACTGAGTCCAAGCCAGCTGGGAGAGCTAGCCGAGCAGCTGGAGGCAAAGAGAGGGTTGCATCTGGGTGGCCATGTGCAAGGATTTAGAGCTTCTCTTCGAAGCCTAGCTTCTAGCCGTGGGTATGGAGGTTAGATATAGGAGGATTGGGCCATGGGACTGCTACTGTTTGTATGTTCTTGATTTCTACTATGTGATTTCTTAACTCAGGAGCAGTCAGGCTCAAGGCCATAAGAAATAGTGAGGGTTAGGGAGGGAGCGCGTATTACATAAAAATTGTCTATGCACCTGCGTTCGGGCAGGGTGATAGAAGCGCGGAAAGTGTCGATGGCGGGACCTGAAGAAGAAACACATAGGCAGGGCCCTCGATATCAGGGTTAAACGTCATTAATACCATTATTTCAGGATGTAGTTTTGACTTTGCTCTGTAACTTCAGGGTAATGCCATATGTTTTGCCCTGAAATTTCAGGATGTCAATTAAGTATTGCTTTTTAGCGTCAAGACGTAAGTCGATGAATTCCCTGACACGTATATAGACAGGGGGAGGGGAGTTGGAGGGAAGGGGGGGAGATTTGGGGGGTGCTTTTTCCCCCCAAACGTTTTGCCCCGCCGTCGCACGATCCCTTGTCACGTTGGCTTTTTGGTCCCATTGCAAACTATGAGCTTGATAGCAGACAGTACAGGAGGGTAACTTTGGAGCAGCGCACGTCGTCCCGTCACCTTGTGACCTATCCCTTGCATACACCAAGCAGGGCTGACGTTTCAAAGTTTAGGCTCACTTACCCTCAATATATGAAAATCCTTTTAGTATGAAGGCAGTCTGATTGCTCGTGACCTGCTCCATTGTCTAATCGTTGAGCGTATGCAGATTGATTTCAGGGTTGCCATGTATACTAGTTTCTACATTTGCAAGCATACACCTTCACGCAAATGTTCATTGCACTCACTGTTGTTACGAAGCTATGTAGCCCTACAGATCTACTGAATGGGCTTATCCATGTAGTAGATATCCCCTGCATACTCTCCATCAGATAGGAAGGGGTTGTCTTCTTCCTCTGAGTAATCTTCGGGGAAGAATTTCTCTATCTCCTGGTCCATCACCATCTCCCTTGCACCCCCCTCATCATGTCATCCGATTTCTCCACCTCCTCATCCTTGCGTGGCTCGTAACTTGTACCTGTCAAACTTATATGTTGTGTAGGCTGTAGTGGGGTAGCCCATATGGGGTACAACCCAATTAGGGTTAGTACTTGTACCCATCTTGCTTATAGTTCATCCATTCTCGTTCCTTAGTTTTGACATGGTTTCAGAGCACGTCCTCCCCTAGGACCGTTTTTTTTAGGGGCCCACCGAATCGCGTTACCCCACATGCCGCCAATCTAACGCTGCACTGCCCTGCCCTGCCCTACGACGCGCCGCCCCGCGTACACCCTGCCTTGCGTCACGCTGCCCTGAATCGCGCCGCCCGCGCGCCGCTCTCCGCCGCGGGCCCTGCCTTGCCCGCGCGCCGCTCGCCGCCGCGCGCCTTGCCCTGCCCGCGCGCCGCTCGCCGCCGCACGCCCTGCCCTGCCTGCGCGCTGCTTGCCGCCGCGCGCCCTGCCCTGCCCGCACGCCGCTCGCTGCCGCGCGCCCTGCCCTGCCCGCGCGCTGCTCGCCGCCGCGCGCCCTGCCCTGCCTGCGCGCTGCTCGCCGCCGCGTGCCTCTCGCTGCCGCGCCGCCTGCCCTGCCGGCGCGCCGCTCGCCGCCGCGCGCCCTGCCCTGCCCGCGCGCCGCACACCGCCGCGCCACCTTCCCTGCCTGGGCATCACTTGCCGCCGCGCCACCTGCCCTGCTTGAGCGCCACTCGCCGTAGCGCCGCCCTGCCCTGCCTGCATGCCACCGTGCTGGCCACCGCCCTGCCTTGCAATCGGTGCAGTCCCCACTTGGTCTAGGAGGTCGGCCCTTGGAGTCATGGTCCATGCTGCTCCAGTGTCCAAAATCCACGTGTTGAGCGGGTGCAGTGCAGCTCCAGCATGGGCGACAACTGCGTCCTCAACCGGTTCTCCAACGTGGAAGAACTGACCGGCTTCTCTCTCCTCCTGCTCGGTCGGTTCATCATCGGCAACCACTCCGGCGCCACTCCCATCTTGAGTCCTGTTGGAGGGGGTCCACCAGGTGGGTTTAGTCCTGCACTTGAACCACGGGTGGCCCACTTTCTCACAATACCAGCACTTGCCCTCCATTCTCCCTGGTCCCCTTCCTCTCCCTCTGCCGCCTCGTCCGCCACCACGTCCTGCTCCTCTACCGCCTAGCTGGTTGGAGGGCTCCTCCTCCTTGGATGCTCCTCTCCCAGCCCCTTGCCATTTCTTGTCTCTGCCTCTTTTTCCTCCTTGCATGGCGTAGCTGCTGCTACCCTCTTCACCTCCCCTCAGTTGGCGCCTCCTGAAGTCCTCCTCGAGAATCTTGGTGCGAATCCACTCCAAGATCCAGGAGCTTTGGTTTTGAGGAAGGCTCGGGCCGCTTGTGAAGATCATCCATGACTCCGGCAGTAGCGACAGCATCTTCATACATTTGGTTTGTTCGGGGTAGACAATTCCAGCGATGGTAAGCTTGGCGTAGAGGTCTCTCAGCTTGTCAAGGATGGGTTGAACAGGTTCTCCTTCACTGAGGCGAACGGTGGAGAGCTCCCTCTCCAGCATGAGGGTAGCTACAACTGATGTCGGGGCATGCAGATCCTTGAGCACTCTCAATGCCTTGGGTCCACACTCTTCCTCCAGGAGGAGGTGCATGATGTGTTGGCGTTGGGCGAGATCCAAACTCTGGGACAGAATATAGTACCCGGCGGATGAGCGCTCATCCCACTCGTTCTGCAGCTCCGGGGTACTTGGTCGTTTCTCGGTGCGTATCATCAGCTTGAGAAGGCCAATCTGCCGAAAGTACAGCTGCATCTTCCAGGACCAGTCGTCATAGCCTTCTCCACTGAACTTGTCGACTGAGAAGTTCTTCAGCACTTCCCTTAATAGCGGGCCCTGGCTCGTCCGGGCTATCCTAGGCGCGGAGACACCAGATTCCTGGCTGCCACTACTCGCGGGGGCTGAGTTCCCTTCTTCTCCAGGCGACCCCATGGATACGTTGAGAATGACTAGGGATCAGCTCTGATACCACGTGTTGAGTCTAAGTACTATGCGGAAGCGATTAACTCAGGACCACAAACATAGGCTAGGCAACACTTAACATCACTTGTGAACCAAATGAGTAGTTATGCCACGCTTAGCTTGTAGAATGAGCGTTCAGGTTCAGCAGAATTTCGGAAGAAGTTCGTTGTGTATCTACTCTCGTCAATACGTAGTAGTAGAATGCACGCTTGAAATCATAAAACATTGTTATGTGGAAAGCAAATACAAGCACACATATATCGCAGATCCTAAGCACACAAAGGAAACACACAAGGCAGTTGTCTAACTGTCGTCCAGGTCTTCGCCTTGCTGTCATTGAAAACGGTTGTTAAACTGCTCCTGAATTTGGCTTGATCTGCCTCTGTAGAATAACTGTTTTCCACTGCACTGCTGCCAAATTCTCCTGCTGACTCCCCTCGTGAACGTTCATGATCGCTCGTGTACAAATCATGAACACTCGTGTGGGTTTACCGTTTTCTTAAGTTACAAACGGACTTTACCGTTTTGTACCTCTGTCGAAATAATGACGCAAAGCAGCGTGACTTTCTGGCGAAATTTCGTGCACGCCAAGTCAGCGCAAAATCCCATTATTCAACCGCAATCTCGAGTGCCCCACGTGCCCCTCATCACGACCGAGATATTTCTCGGTCGGGCAGGACAAAACAATCGCTGACGCGATCGTGCGTTGTCCTACACGTGACGAGGCGATCATGTTGCTTCGTTCTGTAGCGATCGTGCGTACAGTACACGATCGAAACAGTGGCGACAGACGCGCATATTCTGTTAGGACACACGCGTGAATCAGGACCCCACGCGCGGACCCTGACTTCACGCACTTTTTAGTGCCCCAGCGCGAAGTGGTCAATGGGCTGGTCAAACAATCGAGCCCCAAACACAAACACACTCGAAACTCACAACCAACCTTTATGAAAAAACTCGACATTCATGAGACACAGAACATTCATGAAACACAGAACTTTCATGAACGCACATGTTC